TGATTGTTTCAGGAATAAGCATGTTGAAGCTTACCAAGGCATATAGCTTTGCATGACCCGTATTCCCGGTCTGTGAAGCCCTCCCCCGCACTTGCAGGCAGGGCACAAGCCGTGAAGAATCTCGCTCGCGCTTGGAGTTTTTTCTCCGGCGCCATGTACACCAAGTCCTATCGCGCCGCGAACATCGTCAAGCCACCGCCTCCTCAGGTTGCGAAAGCAGCTGCTCCAAGCGCTGCGACATCCAAGGCGCCCACGCTTTCGATCACCGCCGCCAGTTCCAATTGGCACGGGGTGTTGGACGTCCATCAACAAGGTCCTTACCTCCGGCTTTTGCTTTGTTTTGTGGCTTCGCCGAACTCGTGGGGGTTGTGTGTGGGGGGGTGGGGGGTAAGGCTTACCCTGGGCTCAACTGGCTCTAAGGGGTCAAAGGGCACAGCCCAGGAAATCAGAGCTTCGTAGCTTCGAAAGATCAACTAATTCAGTGGTCGTCGGCTTGACTTTGTGGGTCTACAGGTTTAATGGGTTTTCTCTTCAGTTTTCCGCAGGCAATGGACAGTGCAGTGACTCGTGTGCCCCCCGGGCAAAGTTTCAGCTTTTTTGGGCGAGTTACAAGTTCCTCTTCACCACTTGGCAAGTTTCTCTTCATCACTTGGCAAGTCCTGTTCTGCAATCGCTTGGCGGGCTCGCCAATATGTTTCCACGCTTTGTTGCAGGTAAGTTTGCCAATATGGAAACAGCAAACTTTCAACCTCGCGCTGCTATGTCGTAATGCACATGGAGTTAAGAACCGCGTGAATCCTATTTGGGCGTGTCCAAACAGAAATGTGTCGGACCGGCTCCATTCTGTTTGCCTTGGAAACCAACCAATCGGACGCTCCCGAAAGAAGACAAGCCCATTGTCAAAGTTCGACTCTCTCAAGAACCATTTGTGCTTTTCCCGGCAGAACCAGGACACCCCACACGTACTTGTGGGGCAAGTCCAATGTCATGACTTGGAAAGGCGTGCGAAGGTCTGATGTCTGGGTGTGCCTGCAAAGCCTTGAAAATGGCTTGAGGGAAGACACATCCATCAGCGGTTTTGGTGCCAACATAAGAAGCCCAAAGCGTTAGGAAAACCAGATACCTGGATATTGCACCAAAACAATGGGCTATTTCCCATTTCCAGACTGCAAAAAAAGAATTGAACAAGCTGCCCAGGGAGTTCAAAATCACTGGGGCATATTGCGATCGAGAGGAATCGCCACCCCTTTGTGTTTTTTGGAGAAAGCCAAAAGTGTGGGTCATGCCGGGTCACAGGCCAATGGTTGTTGCCAAGTCCAGCGGAATCAACGCCATAGTCCGAGCCCCGTCAGGTTAAGCGGCGCAGAAAACATGCATTTGTTTGGCCCAAAGACTGCCGAAAGCTCTTTTACTACAAGGGCACGAGCAATGAGGGAAAGGGGGGGAAAAGATCTTGGAGAGGAAAATGGAGAAGCTCTCAGGGGGGGAAAGGCCTTAGGGGGGAAAGGGTGGGAAGGATCTCAACAGGGAAAAGGGGGGAAAAGATCTTAGGGAGGAAAAGGGAGATCTGGAAAGGCCTTGATCTCAACAGGGAAAGGGGGCAAAGGATCTTAGGCAGGAAAAGGGGGAAGATCTCAGCGGGGGGAAAGGCCTTGGGGGGGAAAGGGGGGAAAGGATCTGAACAGGAAAGGGGGGGCGGGAAAAGATCTAGGGAGGAAAGGGAGAAGATCTGAAAAAAAAGGCCTCAGGGGGGAAAGGGGGGAAAAGATCTTTGGGAGGAAGGGAAATCTTTCTCGGGGGAAAAGGCCCTAAGGGGGGAATGGGGGGAAAGGATCTCAAACGGGAAAGGGGGGAAAAAAAATCGGGAGGAAAAGGGAGAAGATCTGAAAAGGCCTTGAAAGCATCTCAACAGGGAAAGGGGGGAAAGATCTTAGGGAGGATAATTTTGGGGGGATTAGGGGGAAAGGATCTCAACCGAAAAAGGGGGGAAAAGATCGTAGGGAGGAAAAGGGAGAAGATCTCAGGGTGGGAAAGGCAATAGGGGGGACAGGGGGAAAGGATCACAGTAGGGAAAGGTGGGAAAAGACCTTAGGGAGGAAAAGGGAAAAGATCTCAGGGGGGAAAGGCCTTGGGGGGGAAAGGGGGGAAAGGATCTCAACAGGGAAAGGGGGGAAAACATCTTAGGGAGGAAAAGGGAGAAGATCTCGGGGGGGGACAGGGTTTAGGGGGGATCTCGACAGGGAAAGGGGGGCAAAGATCTTAGAGGGGAAGGGGGGCAAGGGGACAATTCCAAAGGGACGCAAATAAGAAAGCAGGCCTGTAATGGCGGCGACCTGAGCCGGAGGCGCTACTGTAAAATAACTGTGAGTTCCCAACCCTTTTGCTGGCAAAATGTTGCAGGCCGCTGCTTTTCATCACCAGCTCATGGCGAGCGCACGCTCAGGAGTATCTCCTGACCACTAACATTCGCCTGAAGAAAAGGGCCCCCAACTTGCAGGTTCAAATGCAAGAGTGTTAAACGTTGAACCATTTGTGTTGGACCCAGCAGCGCTAGCAAATAAAGCGCAAGTGTTTAATCAACCATCAAACTTGTAATCTTTAAATGTCAGTGGAACGGTATACATCCCAGTAAAAGGGATATATCGGAGCAAATGGATGCATACAGTGTTCATACGTTGGCTACCTAGGGAGGGAAAACATCTTCAACATGTAACAATGCTTGGAGATGGGTTCTGCAATCATTCACCATATACATACCAAATACCCAGAATCGTTCATGGTGTAAGCCTATATACACACATATGCGTGTATGTCTATATATACATATATGTATCAATTCACTCGGAGCCGTCCGTAAGAAACCCTTTTAAAGGCTATGAAAGAAACCTTCCTCCTGGGGCCTGTGGCAAACATCAGCCTTTCGGACCATCTGCTTCACTCTCAAGTGATCACTGGCATGGGGTGAAATGGCCATTGTCTGCTCATTTGTTCCCTGAAAGCGCCAGGTAAGAAGAATCAGATTATCATGACTCTACCATGGGACCACCAAACCCCCTCCTTCCGCGCTTCCGTAGGATCCGTGCAGCTTGCAGCCTCAAAACCACGGCCCCCGCAGGTTGCTTCCTTTTGACCCATGGCACGCGCCGATCTGGTGCCCCGGACCCTCGCTGGGTGCGACAGGGCGTAGAGGATGGGCAGTCGCATGTCCGGCCAACCGGTCTGCATCAGGATGGCAGTGTCCTAGTCCGCTTCGCAGGAATATGAGGTGATTTCCCAGTTTCCCCCAAACAAATCCTGGGGCTCCTATCTCCAAACTATTCAACCAAACCACCAAGGTTACCTGTACTCACCCAAAAACGGAAGAAACCTAAAAGGGACGACGTTTACTCCCCCAAAAACGGGCGAATCAGGAGGTCTTGTGGCCTTTTCCACCTCCCCGCCAAACTCCTCCAACCCCTTCATGCGTTTCCTCCCCATGCGGCGTGGGCGTGCAGTCCTCGCCCTCCCAGTCCGGTCAAGGGACCGTACCTTTTTTCTTTGTCTCTTATGTTGGTCTTGCTCATATAAGACATGGTCGAGGAAGGCCAGGAGTATCCAGGTGCTGCAGGTAGGCCAAGATTCCCTAGCTCTCCTTTTTGTGGTCGAGGGAGATTACTTTTGCAGCCTTTCTCTTGTTTAATGGTCGCGGCCGTAAAAAAGTATAGTAGAAGCTCTAGTAAGGAGAATCAGAAGGTAACGTAACCTATTGCTGAGAAAGGCTCATTCTTGGAAACTCCCACAGGCTAGCCCGATCTTCCAAACCCCTTGATCGGGGTTATTCTGCATACCTAAGACTCCAACAACATATTCCCAGTTGCGGGCAGAAGGCATTCCGAGCGCGGAAGCAAGCAAACAAAGAGAAAGTTGGGTGGAATCCACAGAACAACTGGGCGTTGCAAGTGCTCGCAAGCCATGGTAAAGCTCCGGGCTTCTTCCAAGCCCAAAGAGTCCAAGTATCTGGTTTAGGACAGGTTGATCTTGGGGTCACAAACTCGCTGGACATACGCTATATAACATGTGGGCTCGACTCAAAATAGGGGAACCCCCAAGATTGGTGGGTTCCCTCTAATGCCCCTTCAAACAACCCAAGAATCAAATAAAAAAGGACACATATGGACAGAATCAGGGAATTCCAAGGGACGGAGATCCTTGTTGGGATTCTCATTCTTGGAGAGCCCCAAACTCAGCAAACACAAATGAATTTAGATGGTGGAATCCACTGGACAACTGAGATATGATGGACACTTTTGGGTCTATTTGCCACCACCTTACAGCGTATTGTTCTTGCTTTTAGGTTGCACTGAGTTCAAAACACTCTTCCTTTTATGGCTGCACTTGAAAATTCCTGTTTGTTTGGCTCGAATTCTTAGAACATCATTTTCTGGTTTAGTGACCCGCCCTGGCTGCACTCGATTGCAAAGGAATCCGCCCTGTCCTGACACTCCACAGCACTGTGCACGATGGACTGAGGGTGAATCCTCAGCCCGGATACGCGAAGAACGGGAACTGGTGTTTCCTGACCCTCAGGCAAACATGGAAGCTCCCAGAAAACCCAATAACAGAGTCTTGCACAGGGGCTCCTGGGAGCCTCCATGTCATCCTGGAGGGTAAAAGTAATGTGTCACGCTTGTCCTTATGAAGGAAGTGCAAACCCACCAACCAAACAAGATAGTGGCCACCCAGCAAAGCAACAACATGCTGTGCCATAAGCCCAGCAACAAAAGAGTCGCCAGGATTCAGAAACCCCAGGAAGATTCTTATTGCAGGTGTGAATGGGAGTTGCACACCCCCCAATCGACCAGGCTGATCAGCTCTCGGGGTGGATGGAAAAGGCCATGAAACGATCGATCCGTCAATCTCCTTGCTCATCCCTCAAGTGTTCAAATGCCGCTTATTCAGTCAGGCTACCCTGAAAAAAACATATCAGATGTCGCTTCTTCGGGCCACCCTTAAATACAACATCATTTTGGAGGAGAGCCCAGTCCAGAGTCGCCATTCAGAGTCCCGGCGGACTCCGACTTCGTCGCTTTGGAATTTCGCTTTTGGCCGAGGCACACCACCTCGATGTCGTCGTACTCCACTCCGTAGAGCCAATGCCTAAGGCGAGGGCTCCGAAGATCCACATCTCACGCTTCCACTTGAAATTCCGCCTTTCAACAAAGCACAAAATGCTTTTGAATCAGGGATCTGGCCCCTGTAAAGAGAATGCCCATGTCCTAACTCGGATTTAGTGAGTGTGCCCAATGTCATCACCCTTTCTACCGCAAATGCTGATGAATCATGGACCATTGCTTATACTATATGAAGAGTCCTACCCAAAACCCCCCATTACTTCAGAAAGCGTACAGCGCACCTGTCTATGCCTTCAGGCTGGGTTCAGGAAGCCAAAGGGCAAAACAAACAGAACTGTTCGCACAACTTTTTGGACACGTAGCCAGGTTACCAGGTTCTTGCGATGAGCGCTGGCTTACCTACCTTCAAACGCCTGCTTACATGATCTCCAAAACTCATTGAGGAGAGCCTCCCAGTGTGCGCATCTATCGGCCAGGTCACGCGAGCCTCCTTCCAAACAGTTGGACAAATCGCGTCCCGCTTCAAAAGGCATGATTCAGACGGGGTCACGGTGGGTCCCCGCCCAATGTGGAAGGTCTCTGCACAAACTGCCACTTTGCAAGCTGAAAATCAGTTGTAACCCCACCCGAGGCTCCTAATCTTCCCACTATTGCTGGTACTTGGAGATGCCTGCTTTTGTCATTGAGTCGTGGTTTCCCATACCTGCCTGCCATAGTGGCAAGTGGAGGCAAGACATTTTGGGTGAACTCGTTGAGGCTCAGCTTACAAAGCGATCGAAATGGGGCACCCGGGCGCTTCAATGACCTCCAAGCCCTTGTTCATCATGGTGGACCTCAGCACGCGGGGCCGCGGGGCCGCATTGAATCGCATCGACTCGAGCAGGACACTCACAAAACTGGAGTTCACCAGTCTTTTCCGTTTTCTAAACAACAAGCAATGGGTTCTCAATGCTAAGCAACACACCTGCTATCAGGGGTCTGCCTATATTCATCTCTAAAAGTCACCCTTACCAAGGGAAACTCACCGTAAATGGGCCGAAAGCGTATGCTTAAAACCACCGAAAAGGAAAACATAGGGACCCCTTGGGGAATCTGTGTTGATAGCCGCAATGGGACCGAATGACAGAATGAGAACTTGATTTGACCAGTGTGATCCAACTCTTGGGAATTGACTTCCACAAATAGGGCACCTTTGTGATTGGGTTGCTCAATCGGTTGCGGGCATGGTGCAAAGCCTGAAATCTTGCGCTGGCCTCCTCAAAACCTCAAGCTCGGGCCCAAAACACTTCACAACATGCCCTTGATCCCAACCCACCGGAACCTCCAACCCTCTGACCCCCGAACAAATCCCAAGTTCGCTCTGAATAATTTCTCCGGGCAGGGTGGGAGGCTGAAGGTTTGGGGGGTGGGGTCCTACTATAGCTGGACAAAATCCACCTCGCGCCAGTTGGCGGTTTGTCAACCAGTATCTATCTTGGCCAGGAAAAATGGGTCAGTAAGCCTAGTAGGAAAAGGCGGCCCGTTTTCGGGGTCGACGATTTTTAGCGCGCAAGCCATCAAACTAACCGGGAAAAAGCCACTGAAGAACTGGGCCATTGGTGAGGCCAGGCTTTTATAGATATATATATATATATATATATGATATATATATATATATATATAGATATTGGGACCTCTAAAACTGCTGGATTTCCCGTGAAGTTCCCTTCAAACCCACAGGTACCCGCAGAAAAGAAGCGCCAAGCCCATGCCAATTTGAAGCTCAAATCCTCCAGAGTCCACTCGTCTGAGATGCGGGCGAGTCCACAGTGATCTTGGCCTTACGGAGTGCCAAATGGCCAGGGCAATCGGTTGCCTGTTGGTTTCCCTTTCTAGGTCGGTGCCCTTTTTGCTGTAGTCTATTTTAGTAGGGGGAATGCTCCCCAAAAACAAGGGGCAAGAGGGCAATATTGGGGGACCTAGCTTTGAATGGGTTGGTCTCAAAATAGGGGGCCCAACAAAAATGGTTGGATTCCTTTTGGTTTGGTTGTTTATTAAAACCAGCCAACATTTGGTATCTTCGAAAACAGACACCCCCAAATACCAAAACGGGTGGACACCGATTGACTGACTGACTCACTGACTCACTGACTGCATGACTGACTGTTTGGGGGTGAATCCATGTTTCGGGAGTAGAAGGCAGTTGAACACAATGTAGAAACTAGATCACCAGAATGTCTAACCCCAGTCGTGGGGCTAAAGCACTCCCAAACCAAGACCAAAAGGGCAAAACCACAGGCCCTCTAGCCACAAAACATGTTGTCGCAGGGTATTCGCGTTTTTAATTTGGGGGGGCTCGCTTTATCATTGAGAAGGGATTCAAGGTAGCTGGAAGCCTTGGGGAACATTTAAGGGATGAACTGCAGCGTGGGGCCAACCCCTACCACACTTTTAAAAAGGCTTAAATCACAAATGCGAAAGCAACAGAGATTCCAAAAACAAAACTGACAGTCGATATGTGGGCGTCTTTTTTTGTACGCCCAAAATGGGCTACACGCTCCTCTTGGGTTCCTTCCAAATCACAAAACAGAGTAAGCCAAGGGCCGGGCCAAATAATTTGAATGGGGTGACCAGGTTTCCTTGTAACTTGTAAACCACAAACACGAGTCACGAGCACGGAAGAAGAAAAAAAAGATGAGCCCAAGCCGTTGTGTGGCGCTTTTCCATACACGGCGTACCAACTCCAACAAAAGGGGGGGCGATGGCCGGGCTTCCGCGCGCCCATGTCCCAGTTGGGATGGGTGGTGGACCGCTTTCGGAGCCTCGGAATAGATCGACGTTGCTAAATTGGTCGTCCACCGATCCGACGTGCTTCGATCAAGATGCAGGACCCCCCCTTTGAACCTGCACTGCAAATTCGGTGCACTCCTTTTGGTACTCTCCTGAGCGGGTGGCCTAAAAAAGTCCAAACCTGCTATTTACCACTGAAGTCCGGAAAAGTTGACTAGTGAGTTCATTTGTGTGGTGTCTTTTAGTGAATATGAGTTGTGCGGCTGATTCAATGGAAACCAGAACAATGAGTGGACGGAGAGTTGTTGTTTCACTGTTGTTGGGTGCCTTGCGATTTAGTGGCAACAATCTGCAGTGGTGGATGTCAAGGTGCACTCCGAAGAATCAACACCAACAGGCTCAATAGTAGGCGAGTATCCTTGTTCTTCCGTTCATGGAACTTCTCTTTTGGAGTTCTAACTCTGCGTCACAATACTGCAGCAAAGAAGCCCTAGTTTTGACACAGGACGAAGTCCTCACTCCAACCCCCACCCAACGCTTCCCCCAAGGGTCGTCAGGTTGCTTGGGCAAGACTTAGACCCGCCGCAAGAACAGTGGGCTGTTTGCTGACTGAAAGAGAATTGAAGGAAACCCAAGGGCAAAAGGTCAATAAAGTTCGGAATTTGAGCCGGGAGTTTATGACTCAGGCCTCAACATGACGTGGGTCAAACTGGGTGTGAAAAATGCCCCAATCTTTCAACTGGTTCAACGATGCTCAATGACCATGCGCAGACCAAATCCAACGCGTATCAAGAAACATCGTGTCAAGGACCAGCCGTGCAGAAACACGCCAGACGTGGCTGTGGGACAAAAAGGATGCTCGGCTTTATTGGTAGTTTTGCAGACGCCCCACTCAAAAAGCAAAGGAAAAAAGGGCTCACAACCACTGAGCCGGGACGGACATCTTGTGCTGAGCAAACTCTCTGGAAGTTCCTTGAGGGGAATTCCCCACCCAAATTGAGGGCCCCTGCACGGTGTCCCTTGTACAAAGAGATCGATTGATGAAGGGTCCTTGCTTGGAGTCCGGCACGCGCCTGCCAGCCAATTCTATCCCAAACTGGACGAAAGGATCTGCACGGCAGAGCGCTTTTTTCTCCCCGAGCTTCTGGGTGTTGTGAGGAATCTGACTGAGCTGGCGACACCTCCGGGTCCTCCTTCTTCATGTCCTCCACCGACCTCGGAAATGGGACCACTGACCTTTGCTGACTTGAAGGGCCAGGAGAGTTCAATCTGTTGCACATAAAAAGCATTGTTCTACGAACCGTGCAATACATTTTTTCGTGGTATGAATACAAGAGAAGCAATCGTCGATAGAATCATTACTGTTGCTTTGACGTGCAAGGTACTGCTTTTTTAGGCCTTTAACGAAATGATGAAAGGCCTGCCAACCAAAAGTGCTTGACGTTGGCCACCTCAACAAGACTCACTGGGTAGCTTGAGGTCGCTAGTGAAAAAGGGATCCGATATGATCACCGGGGGGAGTTCTGTTGGCATTCCCCACTTTGTGTCTTTTTAAGCCAAGTAGCTCGGGACAAAGAACGACACCCTTCTTTTGGTTGGTTGATGGAGGGAAACTCACCTCAACAAAAGGAAACACGGGGTTGGGGTTGACAGATTTTGATGGGGGAATCCTCTGAACAACCGCGTTTAAGAGCAACTGGCAAAAGGACATGCACCCCTCTGCGTTGTCTCACTTTGACCCAACGAAAAAACAAGGGTTAAACTCCACTGGAGATCTAAATACGTTTTAGGGCGACACCCCCCATTTCATGGGACAAGGACATGTGATATTGATCAAAAAGGGGTGCATTAAATCCTGGAGCCCCCTCGAAAAATTAGAGCGTGACGCTGAAAAACTGGCCGATTTTCCCCAACTATTCGTGGGTATTGCTGGGATTACCTTCCTGTCGGTTTCAGCACAACGGCCGCAAAGTGCTGGCAAAATCACTACCAGAAGGCAGAAGTTCCTTCTAAGAAGGTACTCACAGACTGGAAGGAAGGGATCACCAAGGGACCTTGATCAGGGGACATGCTCGTGAAGTGAACTCAGACGTGGTCCGGATTCCCGACATGAAACACCTAATTCATCAACAAAAGGTTTGGTCAACGCTAAAACACCCCCCCACTGAACAGCAACTCAAGCATGCAAAGCAACTTCACACCCCCCCACCCGCCACCCCATCCCCAAACTCACCCCAAACTCAGCCCCAACCCACCCCAAACACGCCAAACCCACCCAACCAACCCCCAAAACACGCACCAAACCCACGCCAAGCCCACCCCAAACCAACCCCACGCCCACCCATCCCAAACACACCCCAAACACACCCCAAACACACCCCAAACACGCCACCCCAAGCCCACCCCCAGCTTCTTCATCTCTCAAGCAGTGTGGCTTTGGGGGTCGCCTTGCACAACTGGAAACAAAGGTAATTGCCACAGCTTGGAAGTCACCAAGTGTGTCGGTCTTAACTTACTGGATGTTCATTTCAACGCGATAAACCAGCAACGCCCTTTCTGGTAACACCATTGGAAATAACCCAAGCCAGAGTTTGCTTCACTGTGCTTCACTATCCTGGACTTGGGCCTTGTGGGCTAGCGCCTGTGCCACAAAAGGGATAGATATAGAGATAGATAAAATGATAGATAGTTAGTTAGTTAGATAGATAGATAGATAGACAAATAGATAATAATAAATAAATGGATAAAACGATAGATATACAGATCAAGTGGAGAGAGAGAGAGAGAGAGAGAGAGAGAGAGAGAGAGAGAGAGAGAGAGAGAGAGAGAGAGAGAGAGAGAGAGAGAGAGAGAGAGAGAGAGAGAGAGAGAGAGAGAGACAGACGGAGAGACACAGAAAGAAAGACTAGAGAAAGAAAGAAAGAAAGAAAGAAAGAAAGAAAGAAAGAAAGAAATAAAGAACAAGTCCAAAGGTGGTGGCGTGTAGGCGGGCTTTGGAGGCGGGCTTGGGAGTGGGTGTGCTGGGAATTTTGTGTTAGGGATTGCTTTGGTTGAAGAAGTCTGGAGACTGGCGCAGAAGAAGTCTAGTCATTGTTTCAAGATCGCTTCTTCGGGGTCTGGGAATGAGGCCAGCGCAGCCTGCGGCAGTGCACTTTCAAACAAATGCATGCCAAGCTCTTCCTATAGGCGCTCGTCTCGCTTTAGAAACTTCCGCCCACCGGCTTCGCCGGCCTACTACAAATCGCAAACACTAATTTCAAATTGGCCACCACACATGTTTTCCACCAAGCTCCCAAAATGCGGTGTCCAACAGAAACAAGCTCCTTTCCTTTACAATTCTAAGCTACTCAAAAGTTGCGTCCTAAGCATGTTTTCTTTCAGAACAAAGGGTTGCCTTGCGCCACGTTAGGGTCTCCTTTACGAAGCAGGAGCCGGTTTCTAGACACGTTTTATTATTAGGGTTATGGCGCTGGATCTGTTCCTGACCCATGTGATGCCCTAGACCTAGGAGCCAAGGATACTGGACTGTCTGGTGTGCAATTTCTGGAAAGACGCGCAGCTGCTTTTCTGCGCTTTGTTCATCCTGACAAGGGCAGACCAATGTACCGAACACACCCGCCCCCGCGCCCCGCTTTGGCGCCGCCTGCGTGGGAGCGGGCGGCGGCGCCTCCTTCAGAGCCTGCCACGAGGGCAGCTGGAAGTTAGCAGGAGGGTCAAGCTGTCGGCGACGAAACAACATTTTATCAAGGAAGGGTCTCAAACAACACTATATACACCCAGCTTAGGAACTCGGCGTGCTCCGTGGCTGGGGGCTGCGCGTGGAAGCAGCTCGACGCGGCCACGCTTTTGGGATTTCTCGACGACCGTCCGCAGCAGCGCCTCCGCTTTTTCGCCTGCGGGCTGGCTCAAGTCGCGAAAGGTGCCTCAAAAGCGGCGGCGCGCTTGGCGTTGTCCTGCGCGCACCGGACGCGGAGCTGCAAGGCGGCGAGCAAGCTTTCCAAGCGCTAGCCGTCGAGCCAACAACCAGGCGCTGCTTCTTGACGCCCTTAGTTGACGAGCAAACGTCGAGGCCGTAGTTTAGGCCCTCCCATTTTCCAGACTGGCTCTGTCTCACTCTCGATCGCTCTCTCTATCTCTATCTCAATCTTTCTTCCTTCCTTCCTTACTTCCTTCCTTCCTTCCTTCCTTCCTTTCTTTCTTTTGTTTGTTGGTTTCTTTCTTCTTTTCTTTCTGTATTTATTTCGTTTATTTCTGCCCTTTCTTTCTTGCTTTCTTTCTTTTCTTTATGTTTTCTTTCTTTCTTTTTCCCTCTTTCCTTTCTTTTCTTTTTCTATCTTCTTTCCTTCTTCTTTCTTTCTCGCTTGCTCGTGGAAGACAGGTTCCAGATAAAGCCTCCACAAGCTCGTGGCTTGAGAGAGGCTCAGGTCACCGGTCACCTGGGTGTTCAGCCGCTTGAGAGAGGCTCAGGCTCCCCAGTACTCATCCGCTCTTTTGCATCTGGAAAAAAACATGCCGCACCTTCTTGATGGGTGGCAGGAATGCACCATGTCCACAGCTGAGGCCCGAAACCCTCAACCCCAATCCCACCCCAAACCCCACCCACCCCAAACCCCCAAATCCCACCCCAAACCCACCCCAAATCCCAAGCCCAAATTCCAAAACCAAATCCCAACCCCAAACCCACCCCACACCCACCCACCCCAAACCCACCCCAAATCTCAAATCCCAAACCCACCCACCCCAAACCCACCCCAAATCCCAACCCCAAATCCAAACCCCAAATCCCAACCCCAAACCCGCCCCAACCCAGCCCAACCCAGGCCACACCCAACTCCAAATCCCAACCCCAAGCCCACCCCAACCCCAAACCCACCCCAACCCACACCCACCCCAAATCCCAACCCCAAACCCACCCCACACACCCCCCCCCAAACTCCCCCAAATCCCAACACCCACCCCAAACCCACCCCAAATCTCAACCCCAAATCCGAACCCCAAATCCCAACCCCAAACCCACCCCCACACCCACCCCAAATCCCAACCCAAATCCCAAACCCACGCACCCCAAACCCACCCCAATTCCCGGAGCATTGATGGTTCAAAGGGAAAGCGAAGAAAACCAAACAGGCAAAACGAGATATGCCTGTGTGTTTCTTAATTGGGGGAGCCCCCAAAAATGGTGGTCTTCCTTTTGGTTCCCTTTGAAGCCACAAAGCAAAGCACCCGCAAAACAAAAAGAACACACCTATACCGCAAAATGGCAGACCGAGTCGTATGGCTGGGCTCCACGCATGTCACGGAAGGTGCCGCCGGACCCGGTGAGGATGATCTTCTTGACCCCGCCCTTGGGGATGCCCTGCCTGGGAGAAACGTACACGAGGCTCGGCGAAGCGGAGCGCGTGGACTTTTTGAGGGAAGTAAAAGGATGCCGACTTAGGTTACCGAATCACCCTGGTCTTTGTTCACCCCACTCCAAACCACAAAGGTGAAGGTCGAGAAGGGACCAACAAAATGGGTTGCCCAATTCTGAACAGCGCTCCAAGCATGACCCTACATTGTAAACATGGGCAACATTGGCAATGAAGAATCGACAGGTCATGCTTACACAAAATCATGGACATAGCACCCTGAAGTCCCCTCTTCGGACATCAAATCCTTTTTGGCTTGGTCAAACCCAAGACCCCCCCCCTCCAAGAGACACCAAAGCCCACGGCCCTTCTAAGGGACCCTCGCTACATCATTCTTCCTGCACAGGGTGTCCCCTGGGTCAGGGGGGATGGGATACCATGACTCCGGCAAGACACACACACACACACACACACACACACACACACACACACACACACACACACACACACACACACACACACACACACACACACACGCACCCCAAGCTACTTGGCCAGACTTGGACAGCCACATGTATGTGTTTGCTGATGAGTCAGTGATGGGCAAACGCAAAACCGAAAAGGGCAAAACGTCAAACGAAAAGGGGGAGACTCCACTACACATCAATGTTGTTTGGGTGCCATTGCCAACAACACCTAAAATAGGTGTCCAAGGGAAACTCCTAACATGGATGGGTCCGCTTTGGTTTCGCAGAAGCTCGACAATGCTACCAACCCAATAAGCCCAAAGAGTATCCTTGACATTACCCTGGAACCGATCCCAAAACCAGACCTGGCGACCACATGATTGTTGCGAGAAGAGCAAAGCAAGGCAACATCCAAATGGAGAAACAGGTTTCCCAGTGGTTTTCCTTTAGTTTATTGGAAGTTTGGCTAGTCTCTTTGGCTTCTCTTTTGCAATCTTGTCAAAAACACGTAAATAGAAAACCTGCTGGCTAGGGCCCAGGCATGCACTGAAAGATGGCCGAGTGCTCGGAATCCACTGGCCTCCGCGACGTGACAGTCATCACTCATGATTGACTCATTGATTCACACTCTGGTTGACTCGCTGACTGACTGACTGACTGGGACTGGGACTGGGACTGACTGACTGATTGATTGCTCGCTTGCTTGATTGATTGCTGGCTGGCTTGCTTGCTTGATTGATTGGTTGGTTGGTTGGTTGATTGGTTGAATTTGTTTATTGAATGAATGAATGAATGAATGAATGAATGAATGAATGAATGAATGAATGAATGAATGAATGAAATACATGAATGGTTGGTTGGTTGGTTGGTTGGTTGCTTGCTTGCTTGCTTGCTTGCTTGGTTGGTTGATTTGGTTGAGTTCAGCTGAGTTGATGTGGTTTGATTCGACTTGATTTGATCGATCAATCGTTCGATTGACTCTCGGAGTTAACCCTCATGAGCCCAACTGCTACAACATTGCAAGTTTGTATCAGGAAATAGCTCAGTGAGGGCCCCATACAACCTTGGTACATAGGTGGCCTTGAGTAGATTTGCTTGGATGCTCTATTGCAATTGGAAACACACGCACTAGATGCCTTGGTGAGAGCTTGTTCTGTGGGACGTGGCCGTGGTCCCATGGCTGATATTCCGATTCGGGGTGTCCATGGCCATCCTTTCGACCGCTTCGACCCCGGGAAAAAACCCGGGCCACCCGGCAGCATACTCACCCCACACTCCTCGATGAGCGGGGCGATGACCGGCCCACCTGCGATGATGGTCTCCTGAATCACCGATGGCACAGGGATGGACGAAATCCATTTCGCACCACCAAACAAAGCCTGGAATGATTCGATTCCCCTGCAAATACCAACAAATAATGGTTTCCCATGGTTTCAAACTGCTGCAGGATTTCGTCCATCCACAGTAAGTTCCGAAAGGGTGCCCATTGAAATCCTCATGTGACCCAACCTTTTACAGGGCTTAGGGTTTAGGGTCTAGTTTAGGGTTGAGGGACCCGAAATTGTGGATCTCACATTTAGGTGGGGACTTATGTTCAGCAACCACTTGGCAGCGGGTTCCCTATTGAAATTCATAGCCAGGCAGCTTCTCAATCGACCTAAAATGTGCGAAAATGCTTCGACAAGATGAATCGAAGCAACCCCTAAGAAGTTGCTGTGAACATGAATGAATAGGGCACCGCCTCAAACACGGGTGACACACGTGAAACATTCGAAATCCACAAGTCCCTTGACATTCACATGCTCCCGGCTACGGACCATCTCTGGCGAGCCGAGCAAGCCATGGAGCACCCCAAGCCGAAGGCTGGAAGCCACAGGCTTAGGCCTTCCACTTGACCTGTGGCAAGTTCAAAAGATGTGGTTTTCCGTTTGACAAGAATGTTTCCATGTAATTAAGTTCAAACCATTGAACCAAATCATGTTCATGTACCAAAGACTTTTTGGTTTTCCATTTGAAAGGGAGCAATGTTTAGGGAGCCCCAAGAAAGGCATATGAGGCTCATGACCCAGACTCAACCCAGACTCAACCTTCTTTTGGTCTGAGCGAACCTAGGAATTCTCACCCAACCAACCCTAAGATCCACAGGGTTCCTTGAAGGATGCATTTCGGGTAAATCAACCACCACCTCTACCAGCTGTTTCAAAGGTTTCTACACGTACTAGTTTTTTTTTTGGGGGGGGTGCTTTAAAGGAACCTCATCCACCGGGAGAAACACACAAATCGGCCACCAGCGGCTCCTTGTTGGCGAGGGCGATGTCCTTCCCTGCCTTGATAGCCTCGATGGTGGGGATAAGCCTGGGCGAGTCAGACCTATGGCACACTGAACGGCTGCTGGGATGCTTCACTTTGCATACCGACCAAAAAGGGGGGGCACGAATTCTGCATTCATGTTTAGCCAAAGACAGGCTCTGTCAGTCAGCAAGAAAAACAAAAACCTTGTGCTAGAGGTTTGGGTTGGTTTGGAGGGTTTGGGATGGGCCTCAACTGACTCGAACTCACTAATTCAAACCAGGTTGAGACTGCTTGATTCCGCCCAAACAATACTCCCTGTGATGAGTTGCGGCAATACCCGATCACAAGAAAAGCCCCACCCGTGGTTGTACAGGAGTCGACCAAAAACTAGGCAAGAACTATGGCCAACAATCGAAATGACGACTTTTGTTGCACCGATGTCTGGCCATGAGACTGTCGCCTACTAAACTTCAGCTAAACATGTTTCTGACAGGGGCCACTTTTTGCAGCCTTATTCTGAGAACCTCAGGCAAAACTAGGAAAATAAAAGGAGGCCATGCTTGTCAAAACTGCCCTCGCAATCCGTGGGAATATCAGATGGGCACCCCTGAACCTTCCGATCAACCACTAAATTGGTCTTTCCAGGGGAACATTAGTGAGGGGGAGGGTCCAACATCTACCTCTGGTGTAAAAAGCGTACTTGAGGCAACCATGCATTTCAAGATACGACGTAAACCCAGCTTCAAACATCCATCTGGGCGTCTGTGCAAGTGCACTTCGTGTGAGCAAGACAGTGCTCAAGTGCCCAAAGGACCCAAAAGAAGATCGAGACCTCTTGGGGCTTCTCATTGGCCAAAACCGCGGGGCTTGTCCAGTCACTTCGCCAAAACGTTTGACCCTTTTCAGTCTCAGGTTGGTCCATGTGCCTTTCCTGACCACTCCCCTCCGTTCTTCGGGCCGAAAAACCCCGCGCAGCCGACGATGCCCGTCACCACGGTGGCACAGTCCTGGAGAAAAAAAGCGCCAAACCAGAGGGGGGGGGTCGCTGGTTCGAGATGTTCAAGCCACAGCAGGAAACCTGGATTACTACTAGATGTTGTAAGGGTGTGGCTCAAACATAGCTGCTAAAAAATGGAACCCTGGTAAATGAACAAGTAAACTCAAACCTGCGTTCCCTGGCTCTTAAATTTTGAGCCAGACCCATATCATTGTTTCCCCTTGTTTCCTATCGGCTTAGCTGGAAACACTGGGAATGAATCTCAATTATTGGGGACCCTTTGGTAAACATTCTGGGTTGCCCCCGTTCGACCTGATCGGCACGAGGATAGAAGATCGCCCCTGGGAAAAGGAAAGCCAGAGGAAATACAAAGAATTGTCTACTCTTGTCAGATTCGTCGTTTGAAGTTTCAGAGCAAACTTGAAAATTGTGCCTAACGTGTTGAACGATTGTGTGGTAGATATGCTTGACCATGGACAATGTATGTTCACCAAGCGTTGCGGTGCTCCACAGTTCAACGCACAATGCGGGTTCGCGTCGGGGCCCAAACAAAAAAATGGCTTTCCTGCTGTTGCAAAGGTATGTCAATATATGACATGAGTTTTGGGAAACACACACACACACACAGATTTGTCTTTGAATCGGGGGGGGTGCCCCAAAATAGTGGTTGTTTGATGCTTCTTCTTTGGGTTCCCTTTAAACAACCATGAACAAGAGCACCTCAACAAGACACCCTCAACAAGACAAACCCAGCTTGCCATATCACAAACAAAGTTGGCAAATCATTCGATCATTGTGGCGCAAACGCGTCAATCTGTTTGGACGGGTTGGGGTACCAGCCTCTAGACTGACATCTTGATGAAACATGCCTCCAGCGGCAATGCGGAAATCAGAGCACCGTTTTGTGGTTCATAAGGACGCACACAGCCCTTACTAATTATTACTTTTAGAAGGACTATTATTGATGGGAATTTCAAATTGCATACTCAGCGGAAGAAAACACACCGTGTGTTGTGTTGCGCGCCATCGTGCCGCTTGACAGACTTCTTGGCGTGCTCGCAGGGGCAAGCACACAGAAAACAAACGGGAGCATTATCCTGCCCATGAATCTTGGGACACATCAAAACCTAACATCGAAGAAACTGCAGGCCTACCTGACAAGGGCCCCTAAGATTCGGCATAGGGATCCCTATGCTATGTTGGTATGTTCTAGGGCCCAAGAGAAACACATGTCTTTTCCGGCCAAAGAAGCCAACAAACAAGCCCGTTACCTAGGGAAGCAAACAAACATCAGTCAACTCGGGCCCCAAATTCCAAGGCGAAACAACGACCACCTCACCACGCGGGGTCCGGATGTCTGGCCACCTCGATCTGGCCCTCCGAACCGCTCAAGAGTACCTCTCCCGAGATCGGCTCGGAGTTGGCTTCCCGAAGCGTCATAATTTTGGGAGTCATCGTTGTCGGCATTTGTTTCCTGGAAAAATTGGGTTGGTAGATATTGGGCAGTTGAGCATAAAGAGGAAAAGCCGTAAACAAAGAAAAAAGAAAAAGGACGTCGGACGAAGTTGGGTTCCCCTCCAGGCCACTGATGGAACCTGACTGGAGGGTTCGAGGGTCCCGAAATTGTTCCGGTGACGGGAGTGTGCAAGATTTCCCCCACGGGCGGGCTGAGACATCACCTGTTGGTTGCGAATTGAAGGCCAGATTTCTTGTCGTGTGATGTTTAGAAGGGGGAAGTAGAGGGAATTCTGCGGTTTCTGGCAGGGGTGCGCCTTGTAAGGTATCCTTTGCTAACAACCTGTATCAGGATATCATGGATATTGCAGATATCCTTCGGGAAACAAATCATATACTTCATCAACTTGTACAGAAACTTGTTTCAGGAAGACACGCTCACCATGGGTAGCCTCGTTTCACCCCTACGTGGCTGAGCTCGTGAAAATTAATGCAACAATATTATGTTTCTAAAATTAAGAAGCAATGCCAGTTTTTTGCCACTGTGGTTCCCCGCCATTACCTAGAGCATCATGCAAACTGCTCCTGCGCTGCCGAGCTCTGTGGCGAACTGGGTAGACATTGCCGAATTGCTCAGCTTGGGGATCTTGTTCAGGCTCTGGCTGTAAATCCAGCCGCAAGAGTGCGTTGCTCCATCGCCAGTAGCCCAGTGTCGCGAGTGAGTCTCTCGCATTGTTTGACACGAAGGGGCCCAGACAACAGGCCCTCCAGCTGCGAGCCTCATGTGGGGGTTTGACTCTTCCTCGTTTCCCACGGCGAGTCCGCCACATGCATGTCAGAGGCTAAGGTCAAAACACTTCCATGGTTGGAGCACGCCGAACTGAATGATATACTGGACAGGAATTACCTTGCTAAACACTCTACTTGGTCGGACGAAGTTGGGTTGCCCTCCAGTCCACTGACATGGAACCTGACTGGAGGGTCCGTGGAAGACTCTGAAAAGGACCCTCTCAGGGGTTCCGAATTCGTCCCGCGTTAGTGACGGGAGGGTGCCAGATTTTCCCCAGGGCTGAGACTTCACCTCTTGGTTGCAAATTGAAAGCGAACAGTTGTCGTGTCATGTTTAGAAGGGGAAAAGGGTGCTCTTCGCCACAACCTTTGGAACATGACTGATCAGGATATCATACCCCTCATACCCCTCGAGACGCACATCATTATACTTCAACTTGTGTATAAATTTGTCTTATAGGAAGAAACGTTCACCATGTGTAGCTCGTTTCACCCCGTGGCTGAGCTCGCCATAATAAAGGCAGATATGCGGCTTCTAAGACCATACTGTAAAGTAAAGGGCTCCTGCAAAGACCCTGTCACAAGGGCAACAACAAAAGGAAGCAATGCCAAGTTTCTACCTTTGTGGTTCCCCGCCACTACCTATAGAACATTCAATAGTCAAATTGATCAAGGGTATATCTCTTTGGAAGGGCTGTATACAGCTCTGCCTTCCAGTTGATCCAATTGCTTCTTTTGCGGAGGTTCATTTTGTCTTGCATGAGGTGTTGAGCTTCGGAGCAACCCGAAAACCCCGGCTAAACTACGAGCGCTGCGCATGGGCACTGGCTCATAGCCGTCGAGGCCGAGGTTCTTGACGCCCTCCTGAAAGTCACTTTGCGTTGCCCCTCGATTTGACAAGCTCAGGTCCATTTACCTTGTCATATTGCAAATAACATTTGTCATGACCAGTGCCCTTTGAAGCCAACCGGGAAAAATCGGACAATCACCAGCTGAAAGACCACGCTGAAGAAGGGCTTCAGCCTGTCGCAGAAAGTTCCCAGGGAACCAACGGAAACCTCTTGGCAACTGAACCTTGATCATCCTATATCTTACGGGAGCAAGCCTGTTCATGAAAGCTGGGCTCTTCAGGGGTCGATGGCCGGCTCCCTCAAACCAATGTCGGAGGTTGCGTTATGATCTTTCAAAGGAAAGAACAAGACTAGGTCCTCCAGTAGAGAGGTTAGAATAAGGGTACCTTTTTTTTCTGTAGTCTATTTTAGTAGGGGAACCCTCCCAAATAAATTGGTAAAGGGACTGGGGACCTAGAAGAAGCATTTTTCAGCAATGACAATTTTTGCGCATGACCTCAATTGACAAGGGAGCAGGGAAAGGATAAACCCTCGTTTGGAAAAACAATAAGGCCTTAAACATAAAATTTCAAGTACCACCAAAGAATCACACTTATCTTTCCACCAAAATTAACAGCAACAAACCGAAAGAGAATAGCCACCTCCAGTAGTCACCTTTTTTTGGAAGGTTAGTTGACGTTCAACGGATCCAATGGATTCAATGGACCCCCACCCCCCCCCCCAAAAAAAAAAAAGAGAGAGCAACCCAGCCGGGCAGCACTGGACTAGGTCCTCCAGTAGAGAGGTTGCAAATCAGGGTACCAACTTTCTTCTTGTTTTGCCAATTTTGGCAGGGGGAACCCCCCCCTCCCCCCCCCCAAAAAAAAAAAGAAACACGGTGAAGAAGTTGGCCTTTGGCTGGTGGGACCCAAGTGGAGGCCTGGGTACCCGCTGAAAAAAAAAATCCGCCCGCCGGGCGCTGGCCGCTGGCCTTCAGCTCCTCCAGCTTGGACCTCGCGCGCAGCGAGCGAGCCGAAAAAGCCTCAACCACCTACCTCTAAAAATGGGGGGGGGGGGTTCGTTCCCGCCCCCCCCCCCCCAAAGAAAAAAGGATGGGGTGATATGCCGGAATATAGTGGGTAGTTTGAGGGTCCAGGTATATTCTTCCACATCTGGTCGATCAACGAGCATTTGGGCTGACTTGATCAACTTGCTCTAAGACATGGTCCTTGCTTCGGAATTCTACACACCTGGTCCCCGCGCAAGAGAAAGCTTAGAACCCCGGTCTTACCCATGTGGCAGCCCCCGGAGATGAAGCAGGCTCCGTGCTGCTTGGGTTCCAGTTGATACCTTTCATTCTCGCACTGTTCAGCGACAAAAACAGAAGCTCAGCCTGAAGGAAACCCATTGGCAAAATGAGCTGCGTTTTGACACTTGTCCGGGGTGAATAGTCTGAGGAATAAGCCTTCACTTGACACTTGAGGAGTCTGTGTTGTCAAAGAGGGAGCGAGACATTCGCACTTTGCCTCAAGTGGGTGTTTCCAAATATCCTAAGATAGCCTGAAACACGCATGTCTGCCCCCTAACTCATAATCTCCCCCGAATACGACGCAGGGAGCATGCCGGGAAGAAAGAAAGCTGCTCGTCCATTGTCAACAAGTCCAGAAAGTTCCGCTTGTCTTTCAGTTTTGGGACACGTTGAGCTCGTCCCCCACCAGGCTTTCAAAAACCACAGCTTTTCTCTAGCTAGTGCGTTGCGGCAGAGGTATTGCATTAAGTTCAAGCTGACCTGCCTTGTGGCACCAAAAGTCGAAGTCAAGGTTCTGTTTCTCGGCTTCAGTATGGCAGACTTTTTTAGAGATTCCTTCATCAGTGATTTGTTGAGCGGACGGATTTTTGCCCTCCAGTCACACGACGCGCCGTCTTTGCGGACGACCTTTACGGCAAGTTTTCATGTAGATTTTGGCTATTTGCTTGGCTGCTGACTGCGCCTGCACTAAATTTACGACCGACCGAATTCGAGCTTTGTACGCCATCTTGCTCAGGACGGAGCGCCTTTTCCATTCGTCATTCATGTTCAGCTTCCCGCCGCTTTCGAAGATACACCAAAATCTTTCTATTGGATTCAGGTCCGGCGAGCGTGGCGGAGATTGTCAAAGGTGCAGCTTCCATTTCCAGTGTTCAGCGTGGCAGTCTGCAACGTTAAGAAAGGATTCGTTCTCGCAAAGTGGGTGCCACAGGTCATCGGCCTTCACAAGGCTAGTCTTTACGGCTGAGACAAGCTTTTCGGCCTTTAGCACATTGACTCATTCTTTCTTGGTAAGCTTCTTCTTCTGGTGAAAGCTCGCAGTGGCAAAGTCTCTTTCGCTCAGCTCTCCTCAAAGAGGAACGCATCGATCCAACGGGCTCTGGCAAAGATGTCCTGATTGATCAACGATGAGTCTAACTGCTTAGACTTCAAGCGTCCCCAAGTCAACCAGTTGCCCAAGGAACCTGGACATAAAAGGCAACCACCTTGTGGAACCTTGACTAAATGTGGACCAAATCAGCGAAAACAAAAGGCAAGTGAGACTACCAGTCTGACTCATGGACAAAAGCTGGAAATCCTTCCTCTGGAGCTCATGGAACCTCGGTTGCGGCTCGCTGGTTCAAACACCTTGCCTCGTTAGATTCACCTGTCGCAGGGTGGGCGCAATGTAGGCGCCGTTCAGTAGCAGAATGGGGTCGAAGGGAGACGTTAACACCAAATGCCGTGAGGATAGGCCTAGGGGTAAACTGTATAGTCATAAAGTTAGTCTGCCGCTGATTCTACACATCTTACCCTTGTGAACACTCGAATCATATTCGAACTCCAGGGCTCAGGCTCGTCGCAAGCGATCATCTGCGGCTTAAACCTGGGGACGCGACACGTCGCCACGGACGGGTGGTGGGCCTCTTTTGTTGAAAGCTTCGAATTGGCAGCACAACATGTATTGCTTACCTAGTGTCGCTTTCCTCTTGGTCGCATTACCAACATGTAGAGAAGTTTCCTCTCGGGGAAAGCGAGTTGTATACCTCTAAATGCTAGATAATGTTAGCCAAGGATTCAGCACCCCGTGCTGGGTTCTTGTAATTGGTCATTTTGGTAGGAGACCTTACTCGGTCTTACGCGAGTTATCATATTGCTGCCCACATGAACCTTGAACAATGTTGGTCAAGTTGACCCAGGATTGATAACCTAGTTGATTACAAAACAGGGCCTGACTTTTCACATGACTCTAGCAGCTTGGATTCTAAACTGCCTTCAATTGTATGGCTATAAGGTTCAATGGGAACACCTTCAAAAGTAGTAGACATGAGTCACAACTCAAATAATTTCCACCAAAGGCCCCCCAATTGAACATCACACCCATACAAAGGCTTGAACGACCACTGAAGGCTTTTGGTGTTGTTCGAGCGAAAATCGCAGCAAACTCGTCGGGATCGAATCCGGATGACACACGTAGAATCAGGAACATGCTGTGTCAACACCTTGCTTTGGCTTACGGAATTGAAGCGGATTCCCATTTGGCCCGGTTCCCTTGGTACCTCATGATTGCTGCTGCGGGGTGAAAAGGGGTCTAAGTACTTCCTAATAATAACCCCATCCACCCCTAGTAAACACAAATCCCCCGGAGAAAAATATTTTGATTCTTAGGGGTCCCCAGTTCCAGCTTTACTACTCAATTCAAGGGCTTGCCCCCCCCCCCCACCAGCTGGTTTTGGGAGCGGGAATTCTACAAGTAGCAATTTCAGAAAGTGTTGGGGAAATCTAACGAATTGTCCATTTTTGGCTCCACCAGGGCAAAGGGCGCACGCAAGCAGTGGTTGGCACCCCCAGCTCAGCACCACCAGTCGTAAGGATTCAGGAGGGAGCGCGGGGTTGCAAAACCAACATGTGTGTATATATATATATATATTTTGCAGTGCCATACAATTTCTTCCAAAAAGCTGGCTTGTTCAAAGGGGGGGGGGGCTCTCTAATCCTAATCCCATGTATGAAAACGGACCTTTGCCCTTGCACATCCAGCTGTAGATCTCCGGTCTCCAGCCAAGGGGCTCCTGCACTTGCTCCAGCAGCAGCGGGATATTCTTCCCTGGGCGAAACTTTTTGGCCAGACCTGCAACAAGTTAACTTGTTGCTATGGCTATGGGACAAAAAAAGGATCAAGGCAAAAATGTTTGAAGGGCCTTTTCTGTAGATTACCCCTACATGGGGGGGGTCAAAACATTTCTAAATCAGGGGACTCCCTTCAGGTCACCCAAAAGGATGTGGAAAGACAAACAACTTCTTGAGACCTTGAACAGTGGACCATGGGACAACCGAGCTCGGTCAAGGATTAGACAGGGGAGCGCCATACAAAAGCAACAAGTTTCAAGTTACTTTGATTCACCAAGCTGAAGTAAGGTAAATAGTGGGAACCTTCATGACGAGTAGACCCTCGTGAATCTCGCGAGCTCGCCTTGCACATGTCTCATCCACCCAAACCTCCTGTTGTTTGGCCTTGAAGGTAGGGGAATTCTCTGGACAAGTGGCTGAACTGATTGAGCAACAGCCGATCCCGTAGGGCTGCTTGCAAACCAGCTGGAAGCTTGGAATTTTGGGTCTCGCAGGACAGGACCGCGGCCAACTTTCCACCAGCGACACGCCCATGAGGTTCGAGGGTTCTTAGGAATTGCTGGTTTCCGCGAGGCTTTTATTTTGTAATCTTCGAATTCCTCGAGGGTTTTTGGGTGCTGTGTGTCAATCCCCAGTTTCTGAGGGCCTCGGATCGATTGGATCTGCAAGTGCTTCCGCGACCCTAAAATATGGTTCCCTCGAGCTTTCCTTTCAAGCTTCTCACAAAGGGCACCCACCACAAAAAAACAACCTACACATTCTACCTTTGGCTTCCCTTTCAAAACTGCCCCAACCAGCGAACCCTTGTACTGAGTAGCAACCAGCTAGCATCACTTCTCAACCAATGGGAAGTTTAGAGTTAACACGGCGCTTGGATGTTCTTTTCAGGACCCGAGCGGACGGACGACAGTCACCGGCAGCCTCACAGTACCGTGCCCCCCGAGTCCCGGAATCCCCGCCTGCCGCCAGGGCGACGACCTGAAAGCTTCGGCCCCGGTTTCAAGCGAGGGGGTTCCTTGCAAATGCCACGCACATGTCCTTGTTCTCGCAAGCCATCTGAGTCATAATCAAAACCCGGTGGTAAAATGGTCTACCCAGAACCATATAAAGAACTCAAAAGGTGGCCGCAACTAATTCTGGCTGGGACTTTCCCTTACTAACCTTCATTTACGCGGGTTTTGATTCTCGCTCATCTGCCCAAGAGGTACCGCAGCCAGCCTTTGTTCACACCTCCCGTTTGGCTTTGTTTGTTCATCCACTTTGGTTGTCTTTGTTGCGGGGCGGGGGATGTTCTGCAATTATTCTAAAACCAGCAGCAAGAATTGAATCCCCAAAGCCCCCCCGAGGCAGACATACTGTGGATGGACGAAATCCATTTCGCACCACTTTGAAACCATGGGAAACCATTGTGGGCGCGAAATGGATTTCGTCCACAGTGCGCCCCTTTAGACATCATGGTCGGGCGTCATGTCCACCAAATTTGATTCGTGGCTCCAGCTCTTGAAGCCTCCAGCCGCGCGGGTTTGTCTTTTAAATAGAGAACCCCCAAAAGGGGAGGCTTCCCTTTGGGTACCCTTTAAACACAGCCCCAAAACAGGGATCCGAAAAACAACAAGCAAAAAAACAGTTTTGTTTGGCTCCCCTTTAAACGCCCCCCAAAAAAACCACCCCCCAAAAAAAGGCACCCCAAAAAAAAACGAGACAAAAAAAAGACCCAACGGATCGGCCACCGGCCACCGCACGGCCTGGAAGAGCCCCGGGAACTGCCGGCAGATGTCCAGCGTCTGGGTGCCGATGCCTCGCTTCGACTCGCGCGCGCCAGTCGACGAGTCGAAGGACGAATGGCACGCGGGGCGGGGAGGGCAGGTGGAAGACGGGCACAACTTGGAATAGTGCTAACATGTCACACCATCAAATATCTGTTTTGCGTGTTCATATTTTTGTCTAACAATATGTTGTTGTCTTTGATGGAAAAACATAATAGAACCATCACCAGTTGTACACCAACCACAATTAATTGCCAAATATCCAAAAGTTATTTTCATAGAGAACAAGGGTCTTCACACATCTTCCAGGATTCCGGTGCTCCTGTTTGCGGCTGGCTTGGTGTGCTTCCAGCTGCCATCGAAACCAAACAACTAGAGCTGTAGTGGTACCCGGAAGATCGGCATGGCCAGAAGTGAGATAGCGGGCTAGTTTTCGCCCTGACCACGACTATGACCTGTGTCCAGGCGCCCCGTGTTTGTCTTTCGATGTGGTCGCCTCTGCTTTACCTTAGTGTTGGGCAGCCCCTCTTTGAACATAAGATTGGACCCCTCATTGCAACACCCTAAGCAAGGTCAACCCATTCCTACAGGGTATGGGGTCAAAGGGAAAACTGTCAAATTGCGATTACCAACCAAGTGGTGGAAAACCGTGTCTATGGATTTTTGTGCAAGTCTTGCAGTGCTACTTCCTGCATGTTGCGCTGGCGTTGGTTTACTCTGGTCACTTCCGTGGGGGGAAAGCTTAAGCTAATACTGACACCACACCAACGAGATACCGACACCGCATGGCTGCAGGTCAAAAATTGGTTCCCAAAAATGGAAACCCTGGTAAGATGGCAGCATGGACTAAAACCTGCGGTCCCCTGGCGGCTTCATTTTCACCCACGCCCACATACAAGCAAGATCAACACAGCATATAGCGAAGAAAGAGCAAAGCAGGAATTGTCGGCAAACCAATGCTAAGGCGGCAGATCTAGTCAGCTCTGGGTGCCGTCGGCAGAACTGGCAAGGGAGTGCCTGAAGGAAATGCCCGACAATGCTCTCAAGCTCGCAACCATCGCTACTCTCTCTGGGATTGGGTTGGAAGCCCCTAAACTACGAGGTGCCTCTAACATGGAAGCCCAGGACAAAGATATCTGCTGCCACCTCCTGTTACTGGGAATTTTCGACTTGCTCCTATCGTAGAAGTTTTGTGACTTGCCCCTTGCCACTGACTACAATCCAGGGAACCCTAGATATTCCACGGAGCATGTTTCGAGCCTGCCTTAAACGCCTCTCAAAACCGTGGTGGAACATCACTCCCCCTTCCACAGATACCAAAGTGGGTCCACAGGGAATTGCCTTGGGCGCCAAGTTTGGCAGGGGACTGTGATGTTCTTGGTCCATAGTGACATGAACCTCAGCCCGGTAAGCCTTGGAACTGAGCATAGAACTTTGGTCAACCCTCCGACCAACTACGTGGACCCGGCAGGGTTCCCCAGATTTCCCAACAACAAACATCATCCCTACAACGGAAAACCAAAAAACAACAAACGCACTTGAAATGGGCCTCTTGGGTTTATTTGACGAACCAATGAAACAAAGGTGGAACTTGAAAGGGGCCTCTTGGGCATTTCGACGCACCACGAAAGGTGGAAACGGCACTTCGGGAGCCCGGCTGAGGCAAACCGACTTCGACTTCAGTTTTCCGAGGCCGCCGCTGCCGGTAGACCCAAGGATGGAGATCCTGTCGACCCCCGACTGGATCCGGACGCATCGGAGCAACATGCTGCCTGGACAAAATCCACTGACTTTAAAGACACAATCAGAAGGTGATCCAAATAAACTGGGTGGGGTGGGGGGTGGCCGTTTTTTGTTTAGTCCCCCATGGAAACCGTTGATCCACCCGTTGAATGGGCTCTAACAAATGGGCAGAAGGCTTATGCATGATTGTCCTTTGGTATCCTTTGGTGGTGATCGGAGCCCGTTTAGGCTGAGTAAATACACCGATCCCCGTATGCGAGCGAAAATATGCTGAACCCGATCGATGAGACAAGTGGTGCGGTGATATTTAACGTGAGTCTATCCCAAATTGGGACATTTCGTCCAAATCTACGGAGGGGCTTTCACGTATTCTGCCTGCCCAAGTGCTTGAAAAGCTTGGGGGAACCATCCGCACATTGTGTCCCTTTCCCTGAAGGGCTCCTTTAGTGAAAGAAGGTGACCACTGAACTGATCTATAGATGTGGCGTCCACATGTCAATGTGTCGATGTGCGTGGGTGCGTGGGTGCATATGGGTGCGTGGGTGTGTGGGTGCGCGGGTGCGTGTGTGCGTGTGTGCGCGTACGTGCGCGTGCGCGTGCGCGTGCGTTGTGCTGTGCGCTGTGTGCTGTGTGCTGTGTGCTGTGTGATGCGTGCTGCGTGCTGCTTGCTGCGTGCTGCGTGCTGTGTGCTGTGTGCTGTGTGCTGTGTGCTGCGTGCTGCGTGCTGCGTGCTGCGTGCTGTGTGCTGTGTGTGTGTGTGTGCAGTGTGCTGCGTGCTGTGTGCTGCGTGCTGCGTGTCTGCGTCCTGTGTGCTGTGCGCTATGTGGGTGCGTGGGTGCGTGGGTGCTCGGGTGCGTGGGTGCGTGGGTGCGTGGGTGCGTCGGTGCGTGCGTGCGTGCGTGCGTGCGCGCGTGCGTGCGTGCGTGCGTGCGTGTGTGTGTGGGTGTGTGGGTGCGCGTGTGCGTGTGCGTGTGCGTGCGCGTGCGCGTGCGCGTACGCGTGTGCAAGTGCAAGTGTGTGTGTGTGTGTGTGTGTGTGCCTGTCTGTGTGTCTGTGTGTGTGTGTGCGCTTGGGCGTGCGTGTGCGTGCGTGCGTGCATGTGTGAGTGTGTCCGTATGTGTCTGTCTGTGTGTCTGTGTGTATGTGTCTGCGTGCGTGCGTGCGTGCGTGCGGGTGCTTGGGCGTGCGTGCGCGTGCGTGCGTGCATGTGTGAGTGTGTCTGTGTGTGTGTGTGCGCGCGTGCGTGCGTGCGTGCGTGCGTGCGTGTGTGCGTGTGTGTGTGTGGGTGTGTGTATGTCTGTGCGTTTCTTTATGTTTGTGTGTCTTTGTGTCTGCGGGTGTGTGTGTGTGTGTCTGTGTGTCTGTGTGTCTGTGTGTGTGTGTGTGTCTGTGTGTGTGTCTGTGTGTGTGTGTCTGTGTGTGTCTGTGTGTGTGTCTGTGTGTGTGTCTCTGTGTGTCTGTGTGTGTGTGTCTGTGCTGTGCGTGTCTGTGTGTGTCTGTGTGTGTGTCTGTGTGTGTGTCTGTGTGTGTCTGCGTGTGTCTGTGCGTGCGTGCGTGCGTGCGTGCGTGTGTGCGTGCGTGCGTGTGTGTGTGTGTGGGTGTTGTGCATACGTACGTACATTTTGTACAGACACCATGAGCATGAAACATTTATTACAAGTGCAGCTTGACCATTGAATGAGCGCATGTCTGAATATTGGTCAGCGTCAATATTACTTGTCTAGGGGGTGTTCATTCCGACGTTCGGGCGTCCTGTATTGTTTTTGTTCTTCTTTTCCCCCCCTCAGTTTTTGTCTACATGTTCGGGGTAGCGTTTTTTGGGACGTGCCATATCGGCTGTTCGAGACAAAGGCAAACACTCCTACATAAAGTAAATGACGATAAAATTGAAGCTGGCTCGCATAAGTTGGTTGTCAGTAGATGTAGATGGCTCACTCACCCTGTTTGACTCGATTGTCGTTAACGGCAGGCCGGCTTCTGGAAAGTGTTCCGCTAAATCAGTAGACAAAGAGGGCAAGGGCAGGAATCGAACAGAAGCAATCTGAAACATGGATGCTAGACAGAGTTGCAGCCAGTTACAGCCTTTCTGGCTCCCCGCACGGCTTTCCTTTTTGTTTACAGGTTGCGCCCAGGACGCCACGTACTTCTCAAAACCACACTGCGCAGTCCCTCTATCCAAGTCGCAACACCGGCAACCGCTTGGTTTCCCGAAAACACCCCTAGGAAGGAAGGATATCCGTTTTGAGACCTATCCTCTTCTTTTCTCCAAGCGAATCGGACGCTAAAGTGGTTGGCCCCCTTTTGATGGCTTTCCCCCCAGAAAGAGTTACTTCAAACAAAACACTCTCCCCATGTATGGACTTCTCTCAAATAGGACGAATTGCAAGATTTGCCGGCTTCCTCTGGTTTCCCCAAAAGCCACAAAAGACGGCGGCACCCTCAAAATACACTGACATATTTCTGCTTGCTGGACCCTTCCCTCCAAACAAAGACCAGCCCCCTTGCAGACGAATCTAAGCGACCGCATCCACGCCACAAGGATAGAACATGGGTGGTGCCCCTCCGCCCCCCCCCCCCCATCCCTCCATTGGGTCGCTTGCACCCGGCATTTTTGGAAAATCTGATGGGTCCCTTCGCGTTTGCCCGGCAAAGTATCTCCAATCTCGTGAGGAGCCTGGGTGGCCCGCACCGTGCACAATGGTAGATTAGATCAAGGTGGGCAGGGTCCAATATCTAAGCCAAACAGTCGAAGCAAACGATGCGGATTAAATGTTCTGTCGACTTGAATAAACATATGATTGTAAACACTGAGTTCAGGGTATGGTGCCCTTCAGTATTTTGGAGATTCGGCACCCGGTGATGTTACCACATATAAATGCTATGCTTCCAAATGACCAAATGAGGCATGACAGGAACCAGGGTTCAAAACAGTTTGCGAACCGGAGAGGTTTAGAAATGCTGGGGTCATCTACAACAAGGCAAATGAACGCACTGGAAATTCACCTGAGCTTGTTTAAGGAAAAACAATACACCACAAATACGGCAACTACCAGGGAACATGCCAACAAACACAAGGATACAAGGGGTGGCGAAATTGCCAGAAAAGCGAATGGGTTGGATGGGGATGGCGCACGAAAGACAGGCACGTCGGGTTCACAAACCGTCTAAGATGGTTTCCACCAATGTCAAATACCGGTATGTGCCCTTCTTCGAATGGCAACATAGCTGTTTATGGAGGCTCGACTCCTTTTAGGGGACCCCGAAATTCCCAAATTGTGGCTTCCCTTTAAAGCCACGGCACTCTCAACACAAAACGAAAAAGGACACCCCCAGACAGCTTCTACGCAACCCCTGGGCTTTCCCTCCACCGGTCCCAAGGCCTCTTGTCCTTTGGCGGCTCATTGGAGGTCTCCTCAAGAGCGGCTCGTTGGCACAGCTACGCCTCAAACATGACCATAGATGCAGGTGTGTGTGTGTGAACGAGTATTTCAATATACATGTGTGTCTCTGTGTGGAAATACGCATATGTATATATATAATATATAATATAATTATACCGATAATTGAAATTAATAGCGGATTTTGATTCTCAATCATTGCTCCTGCCCAAGATCGGGAGTTGAATTCGTCTGTTCTCCCGCCATCACCAAAAAGTAAACAGCTTTGTAGGTGCTTTTGTGTGGACAGCGCAACGCAGCTCGCTTATGGCTGTTCGACACGAGCTCCACAAATCGAGTTCGGGCCCGTGCCTCGGTGTTGGTCCCCACCAAGTTCCGGCCTTTGGCCCAACTGTGCCTGGCATTGCCACGGAAGTCTTTGGCCACGGAACTAGAAAAACGTGCTTCAGCTTGCGGTCTTCTCCCAAAACGGCCAACAAGTGCTATTGCCCCGAAAAACATGCTTGACGTCAGATTCTGGTCCCAAAGGACATGAGATACAATTTGGGGTGCTGCGACGGGTGTTCGTGTGTACTTTGGGTGGTCCACCCTAAGTCCCCCAAAAAACAACAGCGGACTATAGTGAGATAATATTGTCCCTGACTCATGTGACCAGTCAAAATGGACATGGAGAAATCAGGGCGGAAACTTTGTGAAAGTAACCGCAAAATCAAAACGATGATACAATTGGGTCCCATATTCCCCCTAATATGAATCAGTTTGGCAGTACCCCCCTGAAGATCAACATGGAACGGAGCAAAAAGGAGTCCTTCGCTTCAAATGCTGAATGCATGAACCCACATATATTCCCTAGTATGAACCCTAAGCTTAGCTCGGTTACTCAGCCCTTTCAATGATGGGCAACCGCCCACAGGCTTGCTTGCTGTTGACCCCTCAAGAAGTTTAACTTGTGGGTTTAATGGGAAACCAATAAGTTAAAGTCTAAAGATCCAAAAACAACTTTAAAGTCTTTTAGACTGTCATTTTCCAAAAAGCTAAAGCCCAAAGATCCGTTGCCCAAGAACCGTCGAGAAGAGCTCCAAGGTGGCCATGGGCTTGCACGTATCAGCTTCGCCGAGGGCTAGCACTGAGCTAACTGAAATAACTCCCACATGGCGGGCGGCCAAAAGCGGGGCGGCCAACTTTTGCCCCGTCAAGTTGGGGTTCCAGACCGATCTCAGGAAATCTGCGAGTTTGAGGGGGTCGTGCATTTGTCCAAAACAAGGACATGTATCAAAAGGACCACCTGGTTGCTCCCTATTGTCCTTGCGGCTCAAACTGTTGGCACGTGTTCCACTTCTGCCCTCGCGGGTTAGCTGGAGGGTCCGTCTGAGGATCCGGATACAAGCCCCGAGGTCCCAGTCGCTATGACCTCTTTGGGCTGGTCCCTTTGTCTTAGGGCTATGAACTTTATTAGGGAACCACCTCAGAAGTGCTTGGTGGACATGAATCCGAACAACCGAGCACGCAAGCACCCACCCCAACTCACAACGCACGTAACAAGATCAACAAATGTGTCAATTTAGTGGTTTAGTCACAGGGTCCACAACTAATTTTACGATTGTGTTTGTGTTGTTCTTGGTGTTTGGCTGCGGCTCTAAAAACCGGTACCAACATGGAACCTTGGTAAGTGGAAAGAAGCATGGACCAAAACCCGCGTAACCTCCTGTTTAATTTTGAGCCGGTTTTCACTGTTACTGCATGTCCAAGCAACATGCACTTGTTTTGCACCAGCACTGTCAACATCCCCGGCATCGTTGGGTGTCGGGTGGGATCCGGGTAGGGGGCAAGTTTGGGGCTGGTTTTAAAAGTTGAGGTTTCGGTTTGTATGTGGCTGTGAGTTTTGATAATTTTAATTGGAGACCCTTTGGTGGACATTTATGGGATTTATGTCGACCAGCCACTGTTGAGGGGTTCCCTAATGTTAACCCCGGATTAATAAACCTCTGGTTGATTAATAGGGGGGCCCCCTAATAATGGGACGGGTTTATTACTCCTGGATCAACATCATCTAGATTCACGGCCAGGTGGGTGGGACTGGTTGGTTCTGCGCAGGTCTCCCCCTCGCCTCTTGGCCCGGCTGGCGCGCGCATTCCGCGCATTCCGCGCATGCCGCAGCGCCAAGGCGGGGAGCAGCGAGACCAGGCAGCCGCGCGCAGCCTAGCCGCGAGCCGCAAGGAAAACAGGAAAACGCAGTGGACGCGGCTTTGGTGGATCTGCATACGAAAGAACGCCAAACGAGTACCTTGGTCCTTGAGTAGAGAGGTTAGAATAGGGGTACCTTTTTTTTCTGTGGTGAATAGATGGTTCAGCCCAGTATGTGCGGTATACCCTTACAATCCCTTACATATCTCTTTATACCTCTAGGGTGGATGGTTCCTGAAGCGGGGCAAGAAGGAAGCTCACTCGCAACCATCTTTGCGGGCCAACCGCGGGAGAGGGGAGGTGTGGTTTTCAAAGGCGGCTTACAAGAACCAAAGGCCCCACAGCTGGAAAGGTTCTTAAGACCTCCTTAGAAGGGGTTCTTGGACGCCTTTTAAGGGGTAAAAGGACCCTAGTGGCTCTCATCCAAAGGAACACCCCGAAACGCTCAAAAAAGGACACTTCAGGGGTGAAATCGGTCGCAAACCGAAACTCAGTGAGGACGCAACGTCATTTGCCCAGATGTGCTTGACAAACTTGACAAACCCAAGATCGCCCGTTTAGACAGCCGCTCCCACTGGTCATTCATAATTCCGAAGCCGGAAATCAGGCACCCCATCATTGGAAACGCTCCAGCTTACCCTCAAGTCATTGAGAACGTGAACTAATCTAGCCAGGACTTGGGGTGTGCCAGTGTGCCGCTGAAGAAGTGGCCTTCCCTCAACTGGATTCCCTAATGTGAGTTTGTGAAGACTTCTCAGATTCACACACCCCTGCCCAAAGTATCCAACCTGGATTGGCGTGGAGGATGGCGAGCTGCTTGCTGGAGCCTTCCGGGCTGTCACGTGTGCCCTCAACACTGGGACAGACGTAGCCCCGAAAAGTGACAACATGTTGCCGGTTTCACTGAACATGCAAAAGCGGTTTGTTTAAGTCGGGTGGATGTTTCAATGTACATCCGGCATCAATGGACCCCCTGAGCAATGGGAACTCAAGGAAAGGCTGACAGGGCGGGTGTCTCATTTTATTTTTTGAAGGGCCACTTTTCTGGGGTGTTCCCCCCAAAAAGGTGAATCCGCGTCGACACCATGGAACTGGACCACACTGGCGTTGGATGCGCCTTTGCTTCCGAATGCCTCGCCAGCGCCGGCGAGGAAGGCAGCGCGCCTGAAAGCACAGCAAACGCTGAACTCCCTGGGCAGACAATTCCGTTGGGAAACCTACCCAAGGTTCAATTGTCCACCCTTGCGGCTTGGCTGGATGGGTGTGTCTTGAAATATGGGAGCCCCACCACTTTGCGGGTTCTCCCCGTTATGTGCCTTTCGAAGGTGCCTAAACAATAGTACCCTACCCAAAAAGGCCCACCCAAAGTTTAGCGCACGGAGCCACCGCAAACACCGTGAGTGTCTCTCAAAAAGGCAAGGCCGAATCCAGAAAATGGATTGAGTCTGAGCTTTCCACCGCCGAGCTCTTTGGTTCCACTTCCCTGAGTAGGTAATCAGGGGACCCCTTTTCAACCAAAGTCTAATGGTTGCCTATTATTATAGTGGTAAGTGGGATCTGGGAGTGGACAGTCAATCATCCACAAGGTTGGAAAGGCTGAAGGTCAAACTAAATTAAAGAGCAAACAAGTGGGGCTGTTGCTTCTCTACATGATCTCTTCGCACCCGGTGCGTCTTGGCAAACAACGGCCGGTGTATTCGCAGTCACCAGGATGAAGCAAAGCAGACAAACAATTGTTGTCGAGCCATGCCGCCGTAAACGGCACCATTCCGCCAACATCCTTTTTCGGGGGAGGGGAAGGGGTCTTCATGTTCAACCGGCAAATGGGGTATGCGAATTCACTCAAGGTGAAGCTGCAGTTAAAGAAAACAACCCCAGTTTCTGACTTTGATAGCCCCGAAAAGAAACAGTCAACAAAAATGACGCCAATTCTTCCGAGGGCAAGTCTTGACGAATATATACACACTTTCACAAACCCTCCTGCGCGGGGAACTGCCAGCTGAGCTTGAAAGATCTGATTCCTCTGATTTCCAAACCAGCAAAAAAAAGAAGAGCAAACAGTCAGAGACCTTCCTGGCAGATTTTCTTTCCACCCGCGCTCGGTATTTCCCAGACCCGGTGCCAGCCTCGGCTTGCAGCCGCCAACGCCATGGGAAAAGATCTAAGGGGATCTCGCCGATGCCCAGCGCGCGATCCCGCGGGACCGACTTGAAAACGGCGCGGTCGAAGAGATCTGGCTGTGGGTCAAAAATGGGTACCCAATATGGAACCCTGGTAAGTGGAAACATGGACTAAAACCTGCGGTTCCCTAGTGGTTTGATTTTGACCCATACCTATATATGTGGTGAAGCCAATCCCCCAGGACCCCCCCCGTGGCTCAAGTTCCTCGAAACCCTTGCGTCCAACATGGAACCCACAGGGTCCAATTTGGAAGAACATACTTCGTCCTGGACTCAGGAAAGTTCCGTGTCTGAGTGAAGGGCAAGGTCTTGAGGGACTAAGGTTGCTCCACGAAATCCCTGGCATGGATCAGGTGGTTCCAAAGAATTCCCCGAGAAAAACATGGAATGTACGGGGTCATTCCCCTGCCGAATTCCACGGTCAATCTCGTGGAATACCTTCCTCTGGTGGGGCATTCAAGTGGATTCCCGTGCGAAAAACTGGGTACCCGGCTTTGGTCGCTGATGTTAAGTGGGTAAGCTCCACAGGAAAGGGAAGCAGAGCACCATGCAGGTCTGCACACCCTGGTTTTGCACCTGGCATGGAAACAGACCCTGGCTCCATGTAACGCGCTCCCTGAGTTGGTGGAACCTACTGGGTGAAGGGGACATGCCTCCGCAAAAAAATACCATCCGCTATCAAAAAGTGGAGACCCCTCCGTGACTAACTCACGAACTGCCCGCCTGGCTGACTGACGGACTGACTGAATCAATGTCGGCGTGCCACGAGAATCCGCTTCAGCGAAGCAGATGGCATCCTTTTCCGCCCTAATCTTGGCCCTGGTTCAAACTCGCTTCGGATGTCGGTCCTAAATGCTATCCTACGTGCTTCACATTGACAGCGGAAGGCACAGAACGGTTCCCTGGGTGAAGGCACAAATGTATCTGGATGCAATAGTACTCGCAAACCTGACATAAGGAATCCCCAACAAGTCGGACCCTGATGGGCCGATGGGTGAGCTCAAATTACCCCAGAGCTCGATACAATCTTCCCAGAATGTATGTGGATCGATTTGACATCATAGGAAAGCAACTCAGGATTTGTTCGTCTGGGCTTTCCATGATGGATTTCCATTTGACACCATTGCGGCACGGTGAGCTTGCACCCTGGATTGGTCAGCTTGTTGCACTTTGTGTAAAGGAGCTGACGCTGCTTCCGGAACAACAACACATGAAGCACTTGGTTGCTGTTGACCCTCCTGCAAAAAGTTTAACTTTTTGGGAGTTTAGTCAGCGGCAAACGCCTTGATTTCCCAAAAAGTTAAAGTCTAAAGATCCAACCAAATAGCAGTCAAGAAGATACCAACCTGGGCCTCGATGCTCTTCCACTGCTCTGCTCTTTCAAGCGCACTTGGCTGGCCGGGACTCAGCGAGCGGCGTAGCCAGACTCAAGCAAAGCTTCCTTCGTTGGCTTCCATGTTAGTGCAGTGACTCCGGTTACCCTAGCCGGCAACGAAAGACCACCAGAGGACAAAAGAAAACAGCGCTGATTGGAATGCTTGCTGCTGGTTGCAGGGATAAGGGAGTGGGGTTCCTCGATTTGGGTAGTTTTCCCTACTTTGCGGGTGATTCCCCGCCAAAACATCTACCGGACACGTAGCTCTGTACGTACGGCAGTCATGTCGGTGGGGGGGGGGGGGGTTAGGTTTTGAATCATTTAGGACTTGACGTCTCTGAGCTTGAGACCACACGCACTCGCCCTGTCCCTTCACCAGTCAACAAGGCGCTCGCAACAGGCATTCTGCAGCGGCTAAAAGTATTTGAGTCTACCCCAGCTTTAGCTTCCAGCTGAATAAAAACGAACGTTTAGCTTCTGGTCCATGTTTCGTAAACCTTGAATTGACTATTCTCTTGGCCACTGCCCTTGCAGAAGCCTTTGAAACGTGCACTGGGTGAGACAGGCGATGGCGACCGCGAACACGACCTCAGTGGAAGGAGAAAACCTATGACTGGGGAAACTCTGATAAACAAACGAACTGGTGCAGGATTCTGTCACAGGATCTAAGCTAGCGTTTGCCACAACCCAAAATGAAGGAACCAAACCCCCGATTTTCCTGCATGTGTTTCCTCTGACTGGGGGCGGGTCCAAATCCCCGCCAAATGATAGGCCAAAAAAGCAACAAATCCTCATCCTAGCTCCACCCCTTGGCAACCTCCGCGGAGCTCGGGCCAGGCTAAGGGCTCGTCTGGAATGAATGGATTCTCGCTTTGAAAGACCAAGGTGATGTCAAAACCGCCCCTAAACCAGGGGATTGCAGAAGGGAAGAGGTGATCTGAACAAAAACTTGTTGTAAACCAGAGGGGGAAAGAAATGCAGAGAACCCTAAACCCAGAAAAAATGCAGAAGGGACGAGGTGATCTGAACAACTTTTCGTTCACAGAGCGAAAGGGTGAAGGGAACCGTATCGTGGACGTTGCGAGACACCCCGAAACGTGACGTCGTTCAAACCGCCCTTCGGAGGGAAGCCCAAGGTTCTCCAGGTTCATCGATGGCTGGGTCCCACAAGTGCAGGGTCCGTTGGGGCCGAACACCCCGCTACTCATGCGACAGTACTATTGACTAAATAGATCCGAGCTCTGCTGGTGGTTGGGGAATGCGACCAAAGAAAAGGCCTTGTGAAAAGAAGCCAACCAGAGATCTAAATGTTGGAAACTGTGGCGCCACAACAAAACGAAATCGAAATAGGCACGCTGAAAGGACCAACGAAAATCACATTCCATGAATTTGCAAGGAGTATTTGGGTGTGGGTGCTTCTTTCTTTTTTTCAGAGGGTACCCCTTTTCTGCGGGTATTCAAGGGACACCAACAGGTTTCAACCGAAAACCGCTCTTGGTCTCCCCGAACAACACAAGGCCTCCGCCGCCGAGCCGCCCGGCCGAGTGAGCGAGCCCTCGCCTTATGCGAAGGAAGCTCTCGTCGGCAGCCTCAGCCCCAGGTATCCCCGGCCCCAGCACCTGGAATCCCCCGGTCAAAGGGCTCACCTACCGGGAAAAATCCACACCTAGATGTGTTTAGTAGAGAGGTTAGAATAAGTCGGTACCCACTCTTTCCTGGTAACTTTTTGTCTGTTTTAGTAAAAACAAACCCTCCCCAAATAAAGGGTAAAAGCACACAACTGGGGGACCTAGTGCACAAAACACCTCAAATAAGCTGTTCTCTTGTAGAATGTCCTGTAACCCAACCCGTTGGCCAAGACACTAAGACCCCAAAACTGTCAAGCTGTTGGACAAATTCGGCAAATTGCTACTCACAAACCGGAAAAGAAGGAACCACCTCCAGCAAGGAGCCAGACACCTAGGTGGGCTTGCAATTTCCCCACAAATTGGACATCACACCGATATGCCTTACAATCCTCTCCAGAAAGCGGCCCAATACTCTGGGACAATATCCTGCACTTTAATACCATGGGAAGCCATTTGTTTGTCCATATTTTCAGCGGAATCATCCTTCCAGGGTCTCTTACGCGCTGCGAAATGGATTTTGTCCATCGTATCACCTAGCACCGACTCCAATTCTCCTTCGCTTTAACGGGGTTGGCTCACATGGACCAGCCGAGCCTGGAGCAAGATCAAAATACTCACTGGCTGAGTGGATGGTCCAAAAACAGTCCCAACTGTAGATTTACCACTGAAATGGTCTTCCCAAAAAGTTTTAAAGTTCATGAACTCAGGAAGTGAGTACAGGAATCTGCGGTACCCGCTGTATTTTTGGGGGTCGTGTTGAAGTTTGGGTGCTCCCTCAAAGGTGTGCTACTTCTAATTGTAGGGACCCCCTTGTTGGCTGGTTGGGGAAACCCACAAAGAAACACCCAAGCCACGGGGGCTCCGAAGCCAAAACAAGACCAGCTTATGCGACTTCGCAAAGCACTGACGCGCGAAAAGGATCTCAGAACCTCAGCTGCCCGGCATGTTCGGAGGCACCTGCCGAGCCGAAAACGCGACGCTCGCCGCGTGTTGCCTATGGCCCAAAAGTGGGCGTCAAAGCGTGGGTCAATTATTTCTAATTACAACTCTCTGAGTAAGAAACCGACATGCCCTTCCTGAGGTTGCAATCTCCTTTGTGAGGTTGCAATCCCCTTCGCGAGGTTGCAATCCCCTTTGTGAGGTTGCACCGCCTGAGGGTACCTAACCTTCTCCCTGGCAGACATTTGGCCCCTAAAAGGCAGACCAACAAACCCAATGTCACTCGTCTACTCTAGTTCTTTGGTGATTTGAGGTGGGCAACCCTTGCAAAACCCAGCTTTTTGGCCATGAAACTACATCTGGGTTTGTCTTTAAATCGCGGAACCCTCCAAATGGGTGGTTTGCCGCTTGGTGTCCCGTTAAACCAACAAAAACAAAAGGCATCCTCAAAAAAGGACGAGGCACCCCTCAAATGGGGCAACCCCCTAGAGGCTGACGAACTCTCATCGGGTGAGGAACATCTACTTGGGGGCTGAAGTTGCACAAGGGCTCGGTCTGTTTCGAATGGTTCGGGCAGGTACTGAGCAAGCGCTTGGTAACCCTCGCAACCCACAGAAGCATCTGATAGAAAGTGTCCGAAGTGGGAAGAATCACGGGGGTGTTCATACAGGATCAGCCTATGAACCCAAATCGGTTGCCATTACATGTACTTGGCTCAATTGGGAAATCCTCTCCAAAGCTTCGAGCCACGGCTCTGTTTGTTGGGAACTTGTCGGAAGCCTCAGGCCCCACTCTTGGCCCAAGAGGCTTCCACGTGGCACGTTTGGCTTGTGGTACACGTTGGTACCATGAAGGGAACTCTTCTGTTGGAAAGAGGGTAACTCCCAATTGAACCCCCTGTGCACTGTGCACGGCCAACATTCAACCCAGCTGGGATGTTGTTTTTTCTGTCTGACCATCATTATTTTGGTAAAGCGCAAAGAGGCTAACAGGTGATTGAATCTATTGTCACACAACTCGGGTACGCAC